ACAGTTGACCCCTGATAGCGTGCTTCTGGAACCCGTAGATAGGAAATATAACGTGCCACAATTTTCCGATTTGTAATATTGTTTCGTTCAGATACTTCTTAAAACTTAAAAAGTCAACACGTATCAATTTTTAGAAACTGGAAAATTACCTGAACTAAAAGAGAAATATCAGCCAAAATTGACCTGTCACTGCTGACAATATAAAATACTTCACGACCACTGAGTCCATTGCTGTGGTCTCGTATGCAGATGAACTGTTATCGTATTATACTTTATGGTAGTCTTTCGATAAAGCTACAATAAAAATCAGACCAAAATATTCAATGGATTTCGTACTTTATAAGCTAAGAAACAATTTCCTTTTATGAAAGATTCTAATATTTAACCTAACCTGTGCTGACAAGAACTGCGTCAGGTCAACTCAACGGAATCTAGAACCCATCGACTGCAAGTAGGTAAATCTTTGCAACGTTGTACAATCTCGTTTTCACGTAAGCATGGGGAATGAAAACAAATGTGTATGAACATGGAGACCTATAGGACCGATATTGCCGGAAGTGAAAGTTCGTTGATGAAATTCGTTCTTTACTCATCCCCAATTGACTTTTCCAAAATATTACTTGAGTAAGACAAAGGAAAGATTCCAACGTGTGTTTCCTGGGGTGGTTCAGTTAGAACTCTTTCTTCCCCAAATTATCGAACATGATATGAGGGCCCCACGTAGAATCCCCATAGGCGGACCGTTCGAGGGTTCCGAAAGCTTGCTGCGTGACCTTCTACTTCCAGACTTTATCCCATGGGACGCCATATCACTGAGGTGACACAACATTCACGCGCGCTTTCTGAAAATCGAGACGTTCGTCCAAGTTGGAAAGTCACAACCTTCACAACACGCAAGTGATCGACGAGGTGTTCATTGCCTGTCCGACACCGCTGCAGCCTTTTACGTCTAGTCACCCGGTTAGTCTGCGCGATTTATCAAGAGACGTCGGAGCTATGAAGGGTCAAATAGGCAGTTTACACCGTGACTACTCGCCAATGCAGTAATGGAAACATTTGGATAACAAGTCTTCATGTCTCATAATGTGATTCAAGACCCGTCTGCTCTCAGTTATTGGCAGTGTGGCAAAAGAATAGTAAGCCAATGCGGTATTGCAATAGCGCTCGCCCAAAATGAAGCGATCCGACGTCTTTGGGAACCGCAGCACTCGGAACATCTGCCCTATTAGATCGGCAATATGCGGACTCGTACGCATGTTTTTTCTCGGACGGCATTGCCTTTGTGAAATACCGAACTGGCTCATTACTAATATCTGGCAAATATATATTTCAACTGGTGTTTGCCTAGTCGAATAAAAATTGCTCGGTAATGAATAATTCAGTACCTGTTAAACCTTAAAGTGTCGTGGTTTGGGGGCGTGTGTCACGAGGAATATCGCCTAAATATTGGCCTTGGTGTCGGGTTTCATTGAGGCGTCTTCCTCGCATTAAAAAAATCTGAGGCTATACTAAGCGCAATCCATCTTGATGACATCCCATAGGAAATAGGGCTGCCAGGGTGTCTTTTTTACAGAGAGCGTGCGAAATTTTCTCCTCTGCGCGCGTCAGTCGAACGTTGGTCGGAGACAGCACCTGCTTCAGTCGGTGTCTCATTCCGACGGTTCATTGACGTTGGGAACATACTTACAGATGGCGTAGGGAGATGTCTTGCCTCGTTAAGGCTATCTCATACGGTCATTTTTCGCTTACAATTCAGTAGTGTGTCGATGAGACCAACAACACGTTGTATTCAGTGGTTAATTTTGGATCACTGTCTTGCTTATACTAAGCAAGTCCAGGAATGGTGCATTAGCCAAATCTTCAACGCAACTGAACACATTTCCGTGTTGAATATTGCTGCACTTGGATATCTGCACATATTTGTGGGAGAGATCGTTTCATACGTTTAATACATCAGTCACTCCCCCCTCAGACTTCTCAAAGTCCACATAACCTTCTTGTCGGAAATTTCATTCTGGAAGGGAAGAATGCAAATGCTCATTCAAGCAAGTTTCGTGTTTTGCACTAAAAATGCTTAGATTAGACTTTGATCCAATTGAGGTTGAAAACTGGTTTCGGCAACCCATTCTTGGGGGTAAGAATGAGTTTCTGTGTTGCAGCCCGTGGTTTTAAAGTTGAATCATTTTACTTCTTTTATTTCCTTGATACACGCTGGATTTCCTTGGTAAAATATTTTGGTTTGTTTCATTATTACACAAGGGAGATAACGAGTCTTACCTGAACTGTTTTGTTAAGTTGTGAAATATAGCAATTTCCTCTATAAGAACCTGGGGGAAAAATGAATCCGGAAAAAAATATTTAGGAAAGCCCAATGGGACAATTGCTGCTTGGCATATCTAAATATGTACAATTTAATGCAACTGTATCTTTACCAAATTTTTATTCAAGGGTTTCTGTTTTAAATACTGATTAAAAAAAAAATCGAATTTTGGACATGGCAAATAAACCAAAGAGCCAAGAGGACTGAAGCTTTTAAAAAATGGAGCTACGATTCTTTTGTTTCATAAATGTCACTGTATTGTTGAGATGCTCTGTCAAGGATCTCTATTTGATGTTAATATGAAAATGATACATTTCGAAAAATAATAACTTGCTCCTTGCCCCCATCCCCCCATCCGCTGGGTATGCCACTACACGCCCCCTGGTGTAACTGAGTGGAAACTGTTTTTCATGAGGGTGATCGGCAAATAGGACAAAAAAAGATAACACAACATTTAAAAAAAATCTAAAATCATCAATTCGAAAGGAGCAGGTGACCATGCCACGTATAACCTTTAGCTTGTTTTGTGCAATGGGTTTAATGATCTAATAATGCCGACACTGAGTATCACCTGAGCGCCAGGGTCTGTGTACCGTCGTGAGTGGTTCGGTTTGCTGCCTGAAATCAGCGACGCTGGCTCACACTTTCGATATCAGTTTAACTGCATCTTTCTTACACCAGAGCGTCGGAAATGCACTCTCCTCGGACTTGCGTAGTGACCAGCCGTCGGGGACTGGAGTTCAGGCGAGCTTTGATATATTAGCAGTTGTTTATCCCCGTTAGATGTTCCACATCGCCATTGAGGCAGCCCATCGATCAAAAACTGCAAATTTCTCAGCCCCCCCCCAAAAAAAATCACCTCTTCATTCCCGCTCTGGCGGTTGCTATTTGCTTTCTTCTCCCACACCTCAACAGGATGGTGGTCAAACCGAATTTAACTGGGTCATGATCATACGTTATTTTTGACGACAGTAGCACAGCGAACGTGTGCAAGATAGTACGACAGTTTTACCAGAGTGTTAAACTTTATCCTCGAAGTCATGTAAATGCGTTTTATGCAGTGTCTACGGATGCATACAAGGGTGTCTGCATCCTTGAGGCCACAGAAAATCTCCCAGGAAAGTCAACGTGAACATAGATGAGAATCAACCTTTCAAAGGTAAAACGAAAAGTACCGCGATTCTCCAAAAGCATTTATAAGTTAAAATATATATATATTTATAATTATATCCTGGACTAGGACAGTGAGCTAACTTTGTGAAAGTATTTACATACAGAGGCAGTTTCAACAACCCAGCTGTATACTTCAAACAATACAGCAATTCAGAATCAACTAAAGCATTCTGGTATTGGTTCTTAAAAAACGGCATTAAGGTCCATACAAAATTCATGAAAATTACTCACCTCATTTGATATTCCATTAAACTCAGGACACATGCCTGACAAAATTTCAAAATATTCATAAAACACCAAAAAGAAAAAAGTCCAGAAAAAACGTGCACTTAATTTAATTTTTAAAAATTCAGTGCAGTTTTTAAAACAGGAAAACACATTAGTGTCGAACATTCAACTCCGTAATTTCACAGTCTGTTCTGAGGTCTACAATTGCTTTTTAAACTAATTGCCTGGGTTGTTTGCTGAGTGGCATTGCCCTTCTCTTTCTTTAATGCGAAAATTAGATAAGAGCAAAAGTAGAAGAAAAGGCAACTGATAGAAAAAATGTTGGCAAATTTATACACTGCGTTATATTTTGTCCATTGTGATTCACATTTCAACGTTGTTTGCTGTTTTCTTCTTATAAGCTTCTGCTGTGTGGGAAATGCTCTCTAGTTTTATTTCCTTAGCATGCCGTGCTTTCTAACATAATACAACAGATCCATCTTTTTAAACGTGCTCATGCAGTTGCAGCCTCATTGGCGCCTATTTTGCAATGGTTATCACACAATAGCGTTTCACTAGCAACAAAATTATGCCCAGAAAGTTGCCATCGGCTATAAGTCCTTTAGAATCGTAGGTGTAACCGTTGGCAGTTTAAACGACAATTTCCTTGCTTTACAGAATCAAATCAAAGCAGGTAAATTAGTTCCCGGTGTGTCGAGTTGTTTGTGTATCACCGGAGATTTAGCTTTTCGTCTCTTAATTATTAACCTTTTTAGCATATAAATGAATCTCAAAATTGTACCGCGATATTAAAACCAACGGCACACTTCCAAGAAGACCAAGGTACATGGTCTGGTGAGACGCGAAAAAGTCAAAATCTTGGAAATGAATTTTAAAAATATTTACAGGGATACTGTCGTATTGACTTGAAACCACTTTGGACATGTGCTACCAAAAAAAAAATCATCATTGTGTTTGTGGGTGTGGGCATTTCAATTCATTATTGGCCCACTCACTTCAGTTTGTTCACGTGAAGGCACTGGGCTATCTGTTTGATGGGTTCATCCCACCCAATCAGACTGGGTAAACTTTTTTCAGACATCATTCCGGTGGAACCTGGCAGTGGGCAATTTCTGCTGTGCGCTGTCACATCCGAGTGACGCTGATGTGGCAACTGAAGAGTGTACGTATATACGCGATGTCGTGCTCACTGAAATTTGCCGCGCTGCGCAGTTGATCGTGCAATTACGAGACCATAACTTGACAGGCTGTCCAATCGGTCCGTCAGTGGTCCCTGTCATAACGTCACTGGCTCAGCCCATGAGGGCACGTACCAGTTAACCACGCGCGCAAGCACTTATATACATAAGCGTTATCACTCTCGCTTCAGAGCGGACGTTCGCACGACTCACTCTGCTGCCACAGTTTCGGGATTGCATTGGCGACCAGTCAAAAGAAGAGAGGGGGAAGAGAAAACACGAGAAGACTGGTTCAGGTTCATTGGCACGTACCGGTCGTGTTACACCAGGCGGTCGGCAGAGAATTGGCAGGAAAATACGCTTTTATTCGTTGGCAAGCAGGAGACGAAGGAAGTGCAGGGATTTTGGCGCTCGGGGGAAGGGAGTTCGGGTTTTAGGTATCGCGAGTGACGGAGAGAAGAACCATGCGGCGTGTCGTGGTAGTGTTGCTTCTCTGGCTATGCTCAGCCTGCGTGTTAACAACAGGTAAGCACCCTTTCTTTGCAGTTTTCCCCTCCCTTTTAATTACAGTGATGTTGCTTGGCGCACCCCGAAAACTGTTGTTTGGAAACGCACCAATGTTATTGCGAGAGGGGAAAAGAACGATGAGTCAAACTTGAATGTTTTTGCGGGAGGGTGCGTGATACGGCGTAGTAACCCAGCAACCCTATGCTTGAACTTCCAAATATCAGATAGAGTTACGACTGTACTTTTTCAGTTTATCAAGCGAGGAAAGAAAGTTACTTAAAAGTGTGATTAAAATTGCCTGGCAGAACGAATACTAAACACATTATATCCACCGACAGATATGCTCCAAGAATAATAAGCTTTTCGCTGGAGCTTCAGTGTTGAGTATTTTAAGTTGTGCTTTTGGTAATAATTAGATGGGTATGTCAGAAAATGTCTGTTTTTCTTTATCCCTTGACCATTCGTGTATAGCTTCTGTGGAGGTATCTAACATGTTGACTGACAAATTTAATTGTTAGACACTGCAACCAAGAGACACAGAGGGCAAAAAAAAATCCCAAACCAGACGTCATACATTTTGTGTTAAGGGTAACGTAACGGAAGGAAATACAGATGATTTTTTGGAGATAAATGAATGCAAACGTCGCGTTCTTTCCGTGTGCCGGAACCCAGAATTCGAGTTTCCAACAATGAGGCATGGCATGGCTGTGGTGAGGATTATTCGAGATGTTTCTTAGCGTTACAGCGTCATACCAAACACAAGACAAAAGAAACGGAATGCCTTTTGGTTATTCAGTGTGCACGTACTTCGGCAAGGAATGTGGGTCTCCATTGAAAGATCTCCATAAAGAATTTCCGCCCCGCTTTGTTAAATAAGCACAGCGCTCAATCGTTCCTTTGTTTTGGCCCTGCCGGCACTGATAAGAGAAAAGCATCATTTGCCAAATTGTTGTGGCTATGTTTAGCCGCTGTCTGCAGTTGTTAAATTTTAAAGTCTCCCTAGACTGTGGAATGCGGTATTTATTCTTCGGTGAAAGATAAAGCACCTCGTTTGATAAGATGTTAGGTCGTAGTGAAACTTTTCACTCTTTGACTTCAGAAAATGGTATCGTTCATGTCATGGAGTGAATCACTCGATACGGTCTACTTTTTTAAACGTTGCACTTTCTCGTTATCAACCTGATTTTGGCGTTGCTGGTCAGTATTAAAATTTAACAAAAATTCTTGCATAGAATTGCTACGTATCCGATGTGACAACTGAGCAAAAAAAAAATGAATTATGAGACTTGAGATTAATGCAGTAAAATTACTTAAAAACGCAACATTTCTAGCAGGTTTTTTCCGGAAGTACTTGTTAATGACTCTCCGCTGTAAGTTTCAACTCATTTCTGTCTTTAGCAGGCATACAGAGGGGGCAGTGTTGGCTCCTTTTTTTTCAAAGAACAAAATCCTTTAATTAGGCACCCTGTGTACATAGCTTTGCATGGCAAACATACTGTCAGGTATACTAATTATTGTCGCACTTACACATGTCGAAGACAAAGTTTACGTAATAGTGGACAAGAAAATTCTGGAAGTTACATTTGATCAACATCTTCGTTTCCCAACTGGGGGTCTTGATGGTTTCACCTCTTAACAGCTTAGAGGCAGTTTCTCTTCGGCTAGCAGTAACATACCCACAACCGATGCCAATCATCCTTGCCTTGCGCATCTCTTGCTGTTACATCGACCGTGTTCCGGGCCATCTAACACCCGATCGATTGACACAATCAACGGCAGATTTTGTTTGCTTGGACCTGTTCTAGGCCACATTTTAAAGATGCTCACGCCCGAGTCTGGCCCGCGGGGGACTTTGGCATTTCTCTATAAATTCCAACCGAGCCTATATGGCTATGCTGTTTGATAGTTCCTAACATTTTACTACATCTTTACTCTGCCCTTTGCAAAATTTCGTTCGGATTCTATTTCCACCACACCACCTATGAACCCCTACTCTGACGTGCAACAGACACAATCAATTTTATGATTTTCACAGAACTGCAAAGACACCCGATCTGGGACCCGGTTCAGGACCACGAGACTCGGAGAGTAAGAAAATTCTCTAATCTTAGAAGTGTTAATTGCTAAATAATTGACCAATAACTGTGCATATATTTGGGAAAACAACTTTGAAAGTGGGAAGAGTTAATACAGTACCAGATGGGACAGCCTCTTTAATGAGGATTTAGTTTTAAGGCGGTGAATCTCTGTCGAGAAATGTTGATTGATTATAATCCAAGTGTATTGCATATCAGGTGACAGGTGGCTCAACGTGTGCACCGTCTTCTGTTCCCTGTCTCAAGTGACCCATATTTAGTACGCGTAGCCTCATTCAGTGGACTTGTGGTGTTTGTGTCACAAAGATTTATCGATACTTTATACGTGTGTCTTCTTTTATATATCAAATCTCTGACGAGAAGGGGAATTACGCTATTTTGAGTAAATATCGATTTATTTAAGTACGGAATGTTGGATAGATTGTATAACATTGAACACATTGGGCTTATTAAAGTGTTTACGTAATTTTAGGATGTTTGGCTCCAGATTGCTTCATGGCAGAGTTTGATTTCTTGAATGGAAACTAATAAACGGAAAGTTTTTTGGTCATTCAATATTAAGTACAAATGGCAACCCTTTCATAATTTTGTTACCAAGTATTTTGGTATGGTGTTCCATCTTTCCATACACGCAGGGCAGTCTGTCGTTTTTTGTTAGCAACTCGTTTTGGAAATTGGAAGTTTAAATGTCTGATCTATTGCTAAGACCTGAACTCAATGGTAGACCTAATGTTGAAATCTTTTGCCGCCTATCCTATTGAAATACCTTCTTCACAGGGAAGCAATTTTGGATTTTGTTCCCGGAATCTGTTATGCTTAATTTATTCTGTTGAGTGAGACGGTGCACGACTATTCTGGATTCCAAGCCTCATTATCAGTTTTTTTTTAATGTACCGGTATCTTTGCACATTTAGATATGATTCATCAAAATCTTTATAACTTATTCTGTATTAAATATTTTAGATTAGTCTAAACTGACATAAATTTGTAAGGAACTTTTATTTCTTTGCTCTTGTATTCTAAGGTCCCCCAAATGAAAAGTAAAATCACTTTCAATTCAAGATTTTCGACTCATAAATACAGTCAATTTTAATTGTACCGTATTTATCAGTTATTATGCTGTTTCTTTCCTGCAATGTTTTTACATTCTTTATCATCCAATAACTTGGGTGACCATTTGTAATTCTTTTTTCGACATCAACTGCCTTAGTAATGACTACGCACGCCTGAGTGTACACGAGACCGCTTGTCTCGACCTCGCGCTGGGACTTGCGCCATTTGTCCAAGAAGGGGAAATATGCGGCGAAGTGTGAAGCACCTCGCAACGGCTAATTTGATTAGCTGGATAGTCACCCGCCCCAGACCCATTCACCCTCTCTTTTAATTTTCCAATCTGTTGTTTTCCGATTCCTCCATATTCTCCACTTCAGCACGCATGAATAGACAACCGTGACTGATAAAACATCAAGGTTAGTATACTCATGTTTCTCTGCTGAAGAGGAGATAGCATGATGTAGCTTCGGAGAGAGCTTTTATGAGCATTTACATTGTTTGAGGTCCTAGACGCCGGCAAGTAAGGCGTTACATATCACAGGAAATTACTTAACCTTCTGGCTCTGTGATGTCTGGCTGGTCGAATATTCTACAGACCTATTATATCTACATGACTGTGTACGTGCCTAGCGAGGCAAAGTTATCAATGCCAACCAGATTGGTACGTCACGCCACGACTCTTTATAAATTAAACATGGCAAACCTTTTAAAAAGGGAAACATTATATTCAACGGCCGCCTATCTATAAACGTTTGGTAACCTTTTTCATAGAAAGTATCGGGTGTGCCTCCTCGGAGGGGTACAGATAGTAGACTCAATTCCAGCCTGACTTGCCAATAATTGTAAACACCATATTTTGTCGGATATAGGAGGCTTAACATTTTTAGCTTTCAACTGAATCGATTGCCACAGACTTTTGTCAGATTCAAGTATCAACAAAGGTATCTAGGACTACATAAAATAGGTTTGCGAACTTAAAGCCTTGCAGTGACATTTACTAACACCACCAGAACCATCTGCCTAGTTTATATCAGATAGTCGTGTGGTAACACCAAATGAAAGTTTCATCAATACTTATTAAAGGCCAGCTGGACCGTGTGCAGCAAGTGACTTACAGAGTTGATCTACCTCGAGGTATTAAAGACAATAAGGATTATAATAACCTGACGTCCTATGTAAAAAAAAAAATCAAGTGACCCTGGATGTCACAGTCTTGTGGTGCTTACATTTCCATCGAGATCTTTTGACTTAAAATCTTGAGACCTAGAACTGTTTGAGATATTACATTTTTTTGTGCGAAGAACGTCATAATTGCAACGCATGACATGTTCTTCATAAACATTATAAGCCACAAACGGAAACATTATCAAAAATTCATTGATTATTCGACGGTACAGTTGCACCACTTCGTACTCAATTTTATTTGTCAAAATGTTCGCTTTCAGTTCCACATTTCTGTGGTGATAATATCACGTAGTGCGCTTGTCGAATGAAAACCAAAAAATAGAAAAATCAATTTTTAAACGCAATTTACTTAAAAGCTGTACCGTACGTAACGCCGGATACTCCGAGACTGCAGAACCGCATACAGTTGCTTGTATAACGTAATTCACTTTGTTGCATTATCTGTAGTGATAGAAGGAATGGCCGTAACACCAAGATTAAATTGCTTTCTCTGAGGTTATCACACGGTAAAACTGCTTCTTTGACAAAATAAGACGGAACATGTACCGTTTGTACTGGACAGCGCACCATTTTTGAATATTCCAAACAAAGCGAACTAGTATGCAACGGCGCATTTTAAATTTTATTACTTTTTGAAAATATGAAGCAGAAATGTACACAAATGTAATTTTCTCCAAGCCAATT